GAAGGACCATATCCAGACCACTCCGCCGATTCGGTATCAGAGCCTACAGACCATTCCGGGGCGTGACGTTAACGCGTGAACATCGACGTCGTCGATTGGCTTGGGCACGTAGAGTTCGGCAGTGGCAGCCGCGGAACTGGCGCCGGGTACTCTTCAGTGACGAGAGCCGCTTCCAGTTGAACAAAGCTGATGGTCGGGTACGAGTCTACAGACGTCGGAACGAACGCACAGCACGTTGTTGCGTTCAGGAAGTTGAGATGTTTGGCGGCGGTAGTGTGATGGTGTGGGGGGGAATTTGTGGCGAGAGGAAGACTGACTTGTTGGTGATAGAGGGAAACCTGAATGCCCGTCGATACATTGATGTTGTTTTACGACCTGTCGTGTTACCCTTCCTCCAGCAGAATCGAGGCGTGTTGTTTCAGCAGGATAACGCTACTCCCCACACTGCTGTTGTTACCCGGAACTTCCTGAACAACAACAACGTAAACGTCATTCCTTGGCCAGCAAGATCCCCGATTTATCACCTATTGAGCACCTATGGGATCATCTCGGCCGTCAGGTTAAGCAACGTCAACATCCCCACAGACAAGAAACGCTTTGACTCAAGCTCTACAGGAAGAATGGCGTCGCATCCCACATCACGTGATCAGACGTCTTGTGCACTCTGCACGACGTCGTGTGGCAGCATGTATCGCTGCAAGAGGTGGACACACTCGCTACTGAGGAGTTGGACACTCAAAGACACTCTGTCAGTACTGATGTGCATGTGTTGTCATGATCGAAAACCGGACATTTGAACCTCCTGTGAAAAAACGTCACACAAACTCTACTTACAGCAAATTGTTTCAATTGTTCTGTAATGACAGTCTGCATAATATGTTCAAAAATTATATTAAACATTTCAACATTGAATTGCACGTGTTTGTATCATTTTATGATACAAAAATGATCGGGGACGTTTCTTTTGCCCCTCAGTTTATATGTTTTACTACACTAAATGAGTAAATTTCTTCTGTAAATATTATTCAAACAAACACTTTCAAAGAATCAAACACGTACACCCTATACCCACGTATGATATAATATTGAACAAGACTAAATGTAGATAATTAAATTAGTTTCATGAAAAAAATATCCGAATGATTACATTATGATACTGAAAGTGTAATCGGCGGGATATGGTGATTGTGTATACTCTTATTCTACCGACCTCCACCTCAGAGAAATTGCAAAATATGTTAAACAATGTTGACGTATGACATCACTACCGTTGAGATTTCTTAAAAAATGGCGGCTGACATTGGTTTTGCGAGGACCCTTCCTTTGATTCAGGGATCGTTTGTACATAAATATGAGATGCAAGTAATCAGAATGATTCTGACTATCTGTGTATTGTTACATGTTTTTATCGTTTTCATTTTAAGAAAGAGAAGAAGCGGCCAGAAATGCCGATTATTACTGTTGTCGTTCTGCGTGACTTTGCGTCAGTCATGGCGTCACGCTGCACAGAAACTTGACAGTTTCGTATAAACACATCACATTCCTCTATTGTATCTATTTTTAATTTCCTATTTCTTGCTACTATGCTCTTTCCATGCAAATGGGTCTCTGAAAATTTGAGAAAATGCTACACAGTATAAAGTCTGAAATTGTCTTTGTTTACATTTCAAACAGGTGTTTGAGCACAGCATTTGTTTCGACCCCCAATATCTTTCGTTTCAGCTTATCGAGACACTTGGTATTGGTGACAAAGACCAGTTGTAATTAGGTTCTAAAATGTATGACGAATTCACTAGGGCTGGGACGAGTAGGAAAAAATGGAATCGAGTACCCGCATGTACTTACCCGAATCGGAATCGAGTAGGCTACCCGGAAATGTAAGAAACACATTCGGGTCAACTTTCTGAATATTCAATCACGATTTGACAGAGATTATTATAGAAAACTTGAAAAGGTGGTAATAAGACATTAAAACTGACCTCAAGCTATTTAATTTACGTCTGTTTAACCAATATAGAGAGTAACACCATTACATACATTCCTCATTATAACAACGAACGTTTCGTTCCTGCTGCTACTGTAACTTAACTACTCACTGCACATGCACAGATAAATTACAGTCATTAAAACTATGCTCCATTAATCGGACAATACCAATGATGTAAAAACCCGTGAATTTCCGGGTTAGAATATTGATCTTCAGTAACCCATGCTTGTAAGAGGCGACTAACGGGATCGGGTGGTCAGACTCGCTGACTTGGTTGACACATGTCATCGGTTCCCAATTGCGCAGATCGATGCTCATGTTGTTGATCACTGGATCGCCTGGTCCAGACTCGATTATATACACACCGCCGCCATATAGCTGGAATATTGCTGAGTGCGGCGTAAAACTCACTCACCCACTCACTCAGTGATGTAAATGTGTGTTACGTCAAAAACGAAAAAGACAAGCTATTGTCTGCCCTTGTCATTACAGAGCTCTCTCCCTTTCCGGGTACTCGATTCCTAGAAATAGGACTCGATTCCAGCTGTACCCGACCCGGATTCGAGTACCCGAGTACCCGTCCCAGCCTTAGAATTCAGTGATGCATTTGTCGCCGATGAATATGAAATATAAGTGATGTAATCGGCGTCTCAATACAGGCCTTCGCGAAACGTGATTTTGTAAAAACTAACCAATAGGGCGCAAAGTGCACTTGGGCGTTCGTGTGAGTGTATTTCTGACAACATCTGAACACGATTCCAGGTTTATCGGCAACGTTTCAGAATTAGTAGTGATTTTATGGAAAACTGATATCATTGATAATTAATATGCTATTTTTGAAAGTCAATTCTCAGAGTAATTATCCGATTTTGGTTTGATATGTCCGTCTGGCATCCCTTCCCATGGGTGGATTTTAATTATATTTTTACTAATCATTTCAGCAATAGACGAAAACTTTATAAACATAAACATTGCTCTCGCAACTGATATGTAGGAAAATAATCAAAACATTATTATGTATCTATTTCTGTTATGAGTGATATGCAGGCCTACTTCGTAGTCACTTTGATTAAATGTTATATTTGAATATCGAAACCTTTTGTCACAGCGAACACAACACTATCTCTTGTCATTTTACACGATAATGTTTGGAATTTTAAACTTATTTTATAACAATATCTGAATGCTAATGTTATACACGGATGTATTTCATATAAGGAATACAATGGCACAATAGTATTTCTCTGTCGAATCGTTGCAGCGTTCTATAATACACTTATGAAATATAATACATGTTTTCCGTCCTTGAATACATTGAAAAGAACTATCTATGCATTTTCTATAGTCACTTGTGAATTGAACTAAATGGAGGTTCATCTGATCAATGAGTATCGAGGAAATTATGTTCATCTACTACAGCGTTCTATAATACACTTATGAAATATGATACATGTTTTCCCACCTTGAAGTCATTAAAAAGAATTATGCATTTTCTGCAGTCACTTGTGAATTGAACTAAATGAAGGTTCATCTGATTAATGAGTATCGAGGAAATTATGTTCATCTATAAATTAGACGCAGCTTCATGTTTTTCAAGACATCTTTCCGGAATATGCGTCTGTGAAGGCGTTCAGATAATGACGATATTGCACAGTTTTATTCATGAGATTCCTGTCAACAGTAATGTCGAATAATAGATTGATTTTATTCAGCAGTGTTGGCCCTGAGGTCTATAGTACAATTACAGTTTGATCTACTTGCACGTGGTGCTAGTAACATTATTAAGTTTCTATTGGCATTGAATGCATATTTCAGATAAAAGCTAATGGTATTATTTTCACAACATCTATATTGATTGATTCAAAAAGATTTGGCAATGTGTGTTCATACGTTACAATTTTTGACAGACTTGGCGAATAATTAATAAATGATATTGATAGCATCTTAATGACTTGGCCATACAGTCATGACAATTTAAGGAGTGAAAAGTGAGCGATAGGTCTTGTGGGAATTCAAAGATTCATTAAGACTGTAGCCGTCTAAGCGTAACTCCTGTGTGTAATATTTGTAAATATTCAATCCATTGAAAACATGCTTCTACTATTAATATTACATGTATACCTTCTTCCGCCTCCTCAACATTGGCTTCCTCCCATTGTTATTGTATCATTACCTATCCCATTGTTGTTGTTGTTAATCCCTTTGATGTACTCCCTCATGTTGTCTTACTTCATCCCTGTTACATGTATATAAGTCGGTTCTGTGCTGTATTGCTTTACTCTTGCTTGACAACGGTATGAGAAGCTATACCGAAACGTCGCATCATAATAAATAAAGAAGTTGTTATCCATAAAGTATTATACTTTTCTATTATCCATCAACTTCTAAAAAGCCTATCAAACAGATCGATTTTAGCAGAGTAAGTTGAAGTACAGAGTGATAGTGATTAAAACAATATGTAGAGTGAGTTATCTACAATATATGAGTTGATGTACACTGAGATTGTATATACTCACTATACAGCTATGTATATATTCTCCTTGTTACAACTCTTTGTATCACTTACTTGATAACGGTGTTAGTATCTACAGCGAAACGTCACACTCATTGCAATAAAGAAGTTGAGTATCCATAGACCTTGGTTTTCCTTCACCTATACAACTTCTAATATGCCTCTCAAAGAAGAATACCTGTCTGGAATAGACTACAGAAATTGGGTCATAGATCGTACAAATGTTGGGAATCGAAACTGGATTTTTACCAGATTTGTTTGTGCTATCACGGTTTGATTTGGTGCTCGTGCACCTGCCACCAATTTGCCAGGTGATGATTTGAGAACAACAGCGATATTGATTACAATTTTCCAACCTGAGGAAAAAGACAATATACAACATTAACAGTTTCTCACTGAAATAAACGTGATTCAAGTTTGACATATACTGTGTTTCAATAGAGAGAGTTATGGTAATTATTTAATATGAACAAGGCTTAATTGCTCTTCCTGGATACAGCGTTCCCGTTGTAACCAACCGTTGTCTCCTCACCTAGCCGTTGCTAGGCAAGGTCTTCACAGCGAGAACAGGTGTGATTACAGAGACAATGACAAGTCACAGGTTGCAGCACGTGCTACAGGTAAGTCTCGTTATTTCGACTCAGACCTTACCGCATAAAAAGGAAACTGCTTGACTTTGGCAACATCGCAATGAACTAAGGTAAACTGTTGTCTGTTTTCACCTGTGAATGTTATTTCGTATTACGGTTCACCGTTACCAGTATTTGGTGTTATAAAACGCTGTTATTATTTGACACTTATGCAGGACAAGGTCGCATCAGTCTATAATGAAGTCAACCTATTGTAATTTAATGTTTTTGACTTAGATAGAGATTGCCTGTTTTCAATAGATAGTCTCAGAAACAGTCTGTAGAATACGGGCGGTCTGCAGCATGTCAAGGGTATTCAATCCGTAAATCAGACAAAGGGTTCGTGAATTGTATTGATACATTTTAAAAAACGATCGTTACATTGTATGCGATTGTAACCCTGACCACGACATTTAATTTGCGCTGTTCCCTGCTGTTGTCGCCTATGTTGTTAACACCATTCAGATTGATGGGTTCATTAAATATGTCCGACATTTTCGCATTCTGTACATCTGCTGTTGGTTTGTAGTGTAAATTGTGTTATGAAAAGCACGTTAAATGGGCTCAAATGTGTCTTGTAAAAGGTGTTTTTTGTCGCGTTTGGGGATTTATTTATGCGCTTTTACGCTCAAGTTAGGTGAAAGTCCTGGGGCCCAGTTCATCAAAGCGACCTTAGCTCTGCGGCATTGGTAATTCCTGCCGATGAATATAGACGTAGTGTCGTCCTTTGTCACGGCGGTCATATAGTGTTGTTTTTGTCAGCAAAATAAATATATACTCCTCACAAAAAGTTAAGCAACACAAATTCGTAGTCTCATTACATTTTCATTTATTGAAATTGCAAATCATGGAATGATGCAATAGAAAGGTGAAACATGTGTACACACGATTGACAAAATGAAATGAAATGGTATTGAGCAATAATAGACTTACAAGTCATCAAAAGCATGTACCCTGAAACAGTCGTGCAAAATGTGCTGCATTGATGGAGCAAAATGTTAACATTAAGGGGGCGGTGGGGTAGCCTAGTGGTTAAAGCGTTGGCTCGTCACGCCGAAGACCGGGTTCGAATCCCCACATGGGTACAATGTGTGAAGCCCATGTGAAGCCCATTTCTGGTGTCCCCCCGCCGTGATGTTGCTTGAATATTGCTAAAAGCGGCGTAAAACCAAACTCAGTCAGTCAGTTAACATTAAGGTTCAAGTCAGTTTTGGACAGTGAAGCAGTGTTCAGTAACGCGTGTGACCACCATGAGCACAAATACAAGCTTCTTTGCATTGACCAAATGCGCCTTTAAAGTTGCCATTGTGGAATGTTCTGCCATTCTCCCTGGAACGCCTGCTCAAGGTCATCCAGAGTCTGGGGCTGAACATGGAGACCATAAACGCGACTTCCAATAATGTCCCAAGCATGTTCAATGGGATTAAGATCAAGTGACCTTGCAGGCCAGTCCATATGTGTGATGTCATTGATCTAAACAACATCGTTAACAACTCTTTCGCGGGCATTATCATCCATGGACGGGCATTATCATCCATAAAAATGAAATTAGGACCCGCTTATTGTACCAGAGAAATGATTACAAATAGGTTACACCGATCAGGGTACATGTGTGACGAGTGGAGCACATCCATGCCACACATTTTGCACATTGTTTCTGAGGGTGGTTGTGTTCGGGGGATCGATGTTATCAATGTTATCTGATAAATCACTTTGACAGTCACTAAAGGTTATGTATTCTTTGAATAATAAACCTTTCAGTAACATGTCGGCCAAAATCGCTATCGAGATTGATAAAGATATTACACTGAAAATACTTGTTGCATAATTTTTTGTGAGGAGTAAAAAATTGAAAGGTTTGAACGTAATGAATCGATATCGTGCAGTTCGATCTCTAATACATCTACGCAGACAGGTAGAATGTTAAATTAACTTTATTGCATTGCAATCAAAACACTGTCTCGAATGTGTTATATTTTGTCCTAGATTTAGATTTGGGTGAAAAGTAGCTAACACTTTGTATATTTGGCGTATTTATGTAATCCGTGAGTCATAATACGAAAATCATGTATCCTCTAATACGTCGAGCGGCCTTTTCAACAACAACTTCGAAAGCGAATCTTTCAGTTCATATGGACACGCGAGCGGCACAAATTGATGCAATTTGATAACTCCGATACCATGCCGGTCACGTTCACCGTTATTACACAATTTTCATACCTACTGTTGACAAATTATTGAGCTGTCACCTGATCTCGTTACTGAAATAGTCTGGTCGGATATACATAATTAAAACGTGACTTTCTTATTAATGGTAGCTTACAAAACGTGATTAATTCAACTACAACGGAGATTCGGCTTGCTCACATAAAAATGCGAAACTATTTATAAATTTTAGAAAGCTTTTGATTCAGAGGATAATAACCATTATGTAACATGACAGGAAAGGCTTTTAGCAATATTCCATCAATTTCACGACAGGAGCACAAGAAATGGGCTTCACGCGAGGGGATTCGAACCTGGGTCGTTCTGAAGCGCGAACACTTTCACCACTGGACGATTCTAATTTTTTTCGACTACCTTCATTGAATAACAGTTTGGTGCCAACTCAATTGTAGTTGACCTTATTAGGATTTGTATACTAGCACTAATCAGAAAGTCACATTTTAATGAAGTCATTTCAGTGTGGTAATGACATGATCTCTATGCCCACTGCCTAACATGTGTACCCGATGTCCGAGGACCAATGTTCTTGAAATTCTGAGGATTCAACTGATGGCGGAGATACACCATGTCATGAAACAGTTAACTCTCCTTGAGAAAATACCCTGAATCGTGAACGGGGGCGGTGGGGTAGCTCAGTGGTTAAAGCGTTCGCTCGTCACGCTGAAGACCCGGGCTCGATTCCCCACATAGGTACAATGTGTGAAGCCCATTTCAGGTGTCCTCCGCCGTGATATTGCTGGAATATTGCTAAAAGCGGCGTAAAACTAAACTCACTTACTGAATCGTGAACGACTATTATTCTTTGGTTATACGGCTCCACGTGATGACAGGATTGACCAGTGTTCAACGAGCGACACAGATTCTTTGATATATAGACACATGTTGTTGCTGGTGTCGTAAGATGTCGACATAATTATGCAAAACAGTATGTAAAGACTACCAAAAGGCTTCCATTAGGCCTGTCTGATGTGGTTTCAGAACAGCCTCTTTTCATTACAAACAAGAGAATTTCCTGTCATGTGATTAGCCTGCCGAAGTCTCTAATTTACGTCTGTTTAACCAATATAAAGAGTAACCCCGTTACATCCAGGTGTGCGAGAAAGGATGGAGACGGCACAGCACAGGCTAATGAATCAATAACTTGGTGGGCACTTGTGCACGTGCTTCTCTAACACCTGGCTGTCCCTTTCTCTGCACTCCTCCCTCGTAACAAAAAGTGAACTGTGTCAAAATGTTAATGATAGTTTTAAAGAACTTTTTTGGTGGAGTCCGGAAAATTTTCAAATATAAAAAAGCTGTTGGGTATTAGTAAATGATAAACATGTGTACTATTTATATTTATGTGGCAATTTTGTACAATGATAAAATTTGCAATTCATCGGTCCGTTTCTGACTCAAACGGACTGTAGTGTGCGTGCACACCACTGGTGTAGCCGACACAAACAAACAAACAAAATTACCCCCCGCGCTTAACCTTTTCCGAGTGTATATTTGTCCGCGCGTTTAATGGAGGAAGTACGGTACTGCCACATAGATGTCTACCCGTTGGTCGAACCTTACACAATTAACAACTGATAATTTCATATAAACGTCGTTCGCTTTGTGTGATAATCTTCAATCGAGATGAAGATTAATGTCAACACAAAATTAGGCATAACATTTCCAATAGTAAACATGTGTTTGTTTGTCTTAAAATACTTTGGGGAGAATTTGATTTAAGTTAAATTCCAGTCTTATACAATGAGATGCTCGATCAACCTAGTATGTAGAAGAATCTGGGAGGAGAATAGATTTTGAGCACAATCCCCATTTTTCCCAGCGGTTACCAACAAACTATTAATCCACTGAGCGCCATCAAATAGTCTATTTACTTTCATTATTATGCTAATAGTTTGACGTTTTGGTGTTTTCCCCAAATTAATCATTTTTGTGTTGTTGTTTTTACCGCTGCCAACAAATTATTCGTTTAGGGCATATTTCTGAACAATCCGTTCATTTTAGAAAATAATTGGGTTTATCGTTAAGAAGACAGCATGAAACACATTCGCTGGCCTCATTATTACCAGTTAATGTGCCATACCGTCTGTCCTTTCTGTGCAAATATGCATTAATGTTTTCCTTCAGTGTCAGTCAGGGAAAATCGATTTTTTGTCATTTGTTATTTTCGTGTCTATTGTACGACGTTATAGATACATCCATTTGATCTATACACATGGGAAAAAGTATCGCAACGCCTATGGTTTTTAAATCCCATATTGACATTATATTTATATCATAATTATGTTTTTGCGTGATAAATGTAACTATTCGCGGGCACCATACATTGATTCGAGATATGTACGTTGTACTATCAAGCGAGCTTCACGTGCAAACCTTATGCATGCTATTAAGCAAAGAATATCTTTTAGTTTACTGATCTTCTTACAGCTCGGGGGCGGTGGGGTAGCCTAATGGTTAAAGCGTTGGCTCGTCACGCCGAAGACCCGGGTTCGAATCCCCACATGGGCACAATGTGTGAAGCCCATTTCTGGTGTCCCCCGCCGCGATGTTGCTGGAATATTGCTAAAAGCGGCGTAAAAACCAAACTCAGTCAGTCAGTCTTACAGCTCGATAACTTGGAAAATGAATCGATTGCGTTACTGATGAGGTATTATGGAGGTCTCCTCAGTCGACAACAGCTAACAGATGCCATGTTATTGATCTGTAGAATGTTGGCATGTCATCCATCGACTATCAGCCGATTGGGCATAAAACATCGTCAAACTACTGACGTTAAGGCAGCGTCCCTAGGGAGAATAAAACCTTTCTGAGAATCACGAGGCTTAACAGTTCAGGTCAAGTAGCGTGTCAAAATCACAGTGGCCGGAGAGCGGTAGGTCGCGGGTTCTATCCCCGGCCGCGTCATACCAAAAGACGTTAAAATATTTATTTTTGTAATTATCTTTTTATTCAGAAACCCCTGTTACAAATTGGGGCTCGAGCCCAGGGAAGCAGAAACCCCATTGAAGAGAAAAGAGATTGAGGCAACAGGCTTCTGTCTTTTTGGATTTTGTTAAGACATTAGACAAGCACATTGCATTCACTCACACATTCACACTGACAGAATAGGAGCAAATAACATGAAGTATATAGTATATAAGGAAAGATTACTAGCACATGATAGATGAAATGACATTTTGATGTTATGTACTGTGATATAGATTTGGGTGAGAAGTTTAATATGGTGTTATACCGATGGCTGGCCGGGAGTGTACTACCGGTCTACAAGACGTTAAAAGACGTTAAAATATTGTACTTGTTGGTCTCTGCCTGGCGCTCGGCATTAATGGGTACAACAAGAACTGGTCGGCTCGGAGTCAGCATAATGTGTCTGAGTGGGGTACTCATGCTTAACTGCGGCATGGTATCTCAGTGGGCTAGCACTATAAAACCAGGTAAGTCTGGGCTAGTACAAGCAGCCAAACACACACACACACACACACACACGTCGTCATATGAGCGAAATATTCTTAAGTACAACGTTAAACCCCATTTCACCTCACCTCCACATCAACGTGTATCCAACAGAACGGCCTGGAATCACCTGAAACCAGGGTACCGTGATAGAAGACTTATCATCCGTCCGTTGTTATCCCAAGAGCACAGGCCAGCACGACTAGCTTGGTGTCAAACTGTAAGTCACAGGAATTTGATGTCATGGAGAAGGGTCATGACTGATGGGGGAACCCTTGTTTGGCGCCGCAGAAACAATGCATGTTCTCAACGGAATATCTCCGACCAGGGGACCCTTCCCCATGACCCAAAATACCAGTGACGTCGACCTTGACACCAACGGAGACTGATAGGTTGCTGTCTGTATGTCTGTCCGACTGATTTTAAACGATTTCGGACAGTTCTGTTGGACAAACACGCTACTTGACATTAATGTGACTCTGAGAAGGGCTGTATCTTCAAGGGTTGGGTATCGCCAACATTTTCGTATTGCGGTATAGTGTGATATGTGTTGGCGTATTGCAATATGTATTGCAATATATAGTGTAACACATGGGTTAAGGTAATGAAATTACTGTTTCCTTTCTTTTGAACGATGCCACTGGCCACTGTAAGGACTCAGATGTGATTTACAAGAGATCAATTGAAAATGTTTCCAAACTGAAGACTTCACTCTAAAGTTTGCAACTCGAGAAAAAGCATCTGTAGCGGCGTCCGCCATTTTGGTTTGTTTATCCTTACGAGTGCCGGTACAAATCTGTTTGTTTTTTATTTATATGGTTTAAAAGTCACGCAAATACAATTATATGAACAATAAACAGTCTCAAAACTATTGATGTATAATAATATAAAGGAAATACAAATGTTATTAGTAGTTTTTACAAAAATTACCGATCGTATCGGGTGAACCGGTTCGCTAAAAGTGTACCGCAATATATCGTATTGTGAAGTTCGAATTGCAATATACCGGTTAACCGGTATTATCGCCCTCCCCTAGTATCCTCCCTAGGCGTTGTCCCTGAACTCTGACGGTCTTTATTTTGCTGATGTTTTCTAGCCAGTCGGCTGATAGTCGATGGATGACAACCAGCATCTCTTGCAATAATCCTCAATGACAGGCCAGCGTTCCTCATGCCAATAATTTGCCATCTTGGGTGAGATTCTCTGTTTATCATCCAAAACTGTGTTTCACAGGAGGTATTGCTTGTGTGAGGTCAAATGATATCTCCCAGGAGATATCGTTTCGAAAGTAGAATTGTACAATGCCCTGACGTCATCAATTACATGACTCCCAATGCTATGACGTCAAAAACCTGATGGCGTCATAATGCTATGACATCGCTGCACTGCAAGTCTAATGGCAGTACTGTGTACAGGGATGTACATTTTTCACTGAAAACTAAAGAAGAGTGATTTTTATGATAAACCGATTCTCACCCTCATGTCTTCTGATATCAAATATATCAACACACGTTGATAAATGTAACTTTATCAACTCATGCTGATATAGTTGACATCAAAATAGGGGTTAAAATCACGTGTGTTGCAATACTTTTGTCCGTGTGTATATTATTATTCTTGTTCCGCTACTTGTTACACATAGATAATTTTTCATCCCCATACATGTTAACATGTGGATGTTCTTTCGAATATGGACGTCTTAACCACCTCATTTATTTATTGTTGTTTCTAGACTGGATGACAACGTTACCTAGACAACAATGGGATGTTCCACCAGCCGAACAGTGAAAACATTCTACCATGAGGCTTTAGCAGAACAACTCACAACGACCACAGAATGTGAGAGAGGAGAGCCTGAAGGCTCACCTAATGTGGACAGTAAGGGGCATAACTGTCATTCAGTAACTCCTAGTTATCTCCCTTGAACTCTTACATCTGTTTATTATCGGAATGTTGCAAAATACGAATAAATCGATGTATTTCTGATAGCTATTGATCAAACATAGATGACTTTATTTAATGGTTAAAAAAACAAACATAATGTACTGTAAGCAGACCACAAAGAGTCATATCGTGCAGTGTTACTACAACGGTAGCGGGCAGTGGGGAAGCCTAGTGGTTAAAGCGTTGGCTCGTCAGGCAGAAGGCCTGGGTTCGATTCCCCACATGGCACTGGGTATAGTGTGTGAAGCCCAGTGTGTGAAGCCCAGTGTGTTCCAGCCGTGATTTTGCTGGAATATTGCTAAAAGCGGGGTAAAACCATACTCACCCACTCACTCACTCACCCACAAGTGACCTCATGTCTGGTCCAGGTTTGAATATTTACATCCCGCTACTTACCTGTAGCAGGGCGTGGAGACATCCCACAGATGACATCCTGATGTCAGCAGACGGGGTTAACCTCTTTGGTCATGTGGACTCGGATATTTTATGGCCGCTACTGTTCAACCAAACAATAACGTTACTCGTAGTTTCCGTTAACGTGTTAGCACGTATTCCGTTAAACGTACGTACCACTACATTACTTCGGCTACGGAAATTAACCGTATGTTGTTTTTGGTTTTTTTCAGGATCCAACAAAGAGAACCCAGCAACTGCTACCACAAATCAGATACCGTACGTTCCCTTGGACGACGTGAACTTCTGCCCCGACACAGACTTCAGCGTCTCGGAGGTGTGCGCGTCGGAAGACACAGAAGCATTAGCGTCGGCACAACGCGACCTGCTCATGCAGAGACAGGACATTCTATAAACTAGGTCAGCTGGCCTTGTGTTGTGTTTTTCTTTCTTTTTGGTATTTTTTATTCCTGTTTTTTCTATATTTTTAAAAGACTAAAATTGACTGGTCCTTGCATGTGTTTGTGATGAGTGCCACCGTTCACCAGTTTGTGAACACCTGGAACTTGAACTCTAGAAAGAAGAGAATGTAGAAGAGATTCCATATGAGGATTGGTTTTGTTTAGTTGCTTCTGTTGTATGTCCACTGTAGTGTATGTTCCCCAAACACGTAGAAATATAATCTTTACTACCCGAGGTACAAACTACCGGGCAAAAGAAAGTTATTGCCGACTTCACTTGACCAAGAAATAGAAACAAAGAAGTACATGTATATGAGATGTATGGTAACTGTTTTACAAACAGAAATCATTTTCCAAATATTTGTAATGCCGATCTTGCATTTGCCGCAATTCATTAAGAAAAACTCAAGGGATCAAAATTACAAATTACACAAATCAGAGGTCATTCAAATAGTGTATAAAGAGTCACATAATGAGGCAGGAATTAGGGAACACGTCATCAATAGCGAGTGTGAACACCCTGGTCATCCATACATGCCTTCTCGTTGGAGTCGTCAGTCGTGTCGTGACTATTGGTCTTCCCGATTTTGGGCGGTCCCGCCTGTTTGCTGGTAGCGGTTAATCAATTTGCTGATGGTTGCCTCGCTGCAGTTGAAGGTTCTTGCCAGCCGACGTTGTGAAGCCCCCAACCCGTGAAGGTCCGGGTTAGAATGAACCTTCAGTAACCCATGCTTGTCGTTAGAGGCGACTAACGGGATCGGGTGGTCAGGCTCGCTGGCGTGGTTGACACATGTCATCGGTTCCCAATTGCGCAGATCGATGTTTCATGCTGTTGATCACTGGATTGTCTGGTCCAGACTCGACCCCTCTGGGACCAGTGCTGCACAAGTACGTTTTTCGCGTTTTGAAAAATGTACGTTTCGTACGAAGTTTTCGGATAGCTGCTTTGCTATCGGAATCATGTTGAGTTTTGGCGAATGTTTTCTGCTTGGATTCAAACCTGTACCATCATTTTCGTTTATTATACAATTACTTCAAAAGAGGTAACTTTCTTTTGCCTGGTGGTTAATTCATTTCTGGGTCTTTTGTCAATCACGTCAATGATCAAGTTTGTGGTACTATTGAGCATTTTTTCTATTTTCTTATGAGTGGTTTGGAAGGAATTGAAGCAGCTGAATCCAGAAATGGAATTCGTATATCCCAGCAATGTTGGATATCGAACTAATAATATAAAAGTATAAATTGTAAAATAATATTAATTGCAATATACTTTCAAAGGATAGGGCTCCTATTATAGGTTGTATCGTTTCAGCTGTAAGACCATGACATTTCAGCATTAACTGATCCACTGTCTTGTGGTACGCTGTGCATAGTTACGCCCCTTAGCTGTGAGAGGATCGGCTAGTTGTCATGTCAAATCTACATTTGTTATCTTTTAGCTCAACATCCTTTCGGACTGATATAGTCAACGTGTTTTCTTCAGACTGGCGTGATAAAAACGGGATATGGCGATAACTCACTCACTCACTCAATCAGTCACTAATCAGGTCTTGTTCTCTTGATATATATTTTTGTATTTCAGGCTTTCTTTGACATATGGCTGTCCGCTCTCATTGTTCATCGGCTCTGGTGATGATACACACTGTACCTGTAATGTGACTGCTTCTGCTGAACTGTTCCTACAAAAGTCATGGCACATCCTGTTCCTGCTAAACACGTGGTACATATTGTTCCCAGTAAGACTCGCTACCTCCTGTCAGCGTTTCTTACCTGACAAACTGTAGATGCATACTGTTCTTGATATACACGTGGCACATACTGCTCTTGATATACATGTGACACATACGGTTCTTGATATACACGTGGCACATTCTTATTTTTTTTATTCCATTTCAAGTTGCATGTACAGACAGAAGAGTGGCATGTGTTGACAGTTACATCAACAATTTGATATACAAAATTTTATACACATATAAGGGTGTACAAATATAGATAGACAGGAGCTAGATGAAAGTGTTATATCTGCAATGGACACGTTAACTAGAGTAAGTCAAATTGTATGTGTGCTAAATAAAAATGTCAGAGTAGGGTATCTAAGTCCTAGTTTCCTAGTAAAATAACAAAATTTATTATTTTTCGTTGCAATAAACCTTTCAATTTAGCATATGTCCTTAAGCAACATAGGAAATCCTGCAAAAGATATATCTTGCGGTTTAAGGCTTGAAGTATAGGTGAATCTTTGGCAAGTAGTAAAATGTGATTTACTGCTTGGTTGTTTGAGGACAGTCCAAACATAATAATGAATTTAGATAGTGACAAATTGTTTTGGAGGTTATTATCAAGGAATTTTTCATCTTTAAGCCAAAAGTTCCGAACAAATTGACATTCAAAGAAAACATGTGATACATCTTCTGGGTGGATTTTACAAAATGTACATATATCGTCATCAACTAACTTCATCTTCAATAATTATTTTCTTATTTTCTGTTTATAAATCTGTATTGAAAGTCTTAAGAGCTTACAGTCATTTGTTCATTTATAATAATAGCTAAATACATCTTTCCAGTCAATCTCATGCTGAAAGACAGTGTTCCAATATTCTAATCACTTAGGTGTAGTATCATTCTTAATTAGTTCATCATAGAGATTCCTTGAGCCTTTTTCATTACAGATAATATATTTGTATATATTTTGTATATGTGGCTGATCAAATGTAAGTGTTCTGTTTCTTATCCGATATCTCCAGTTATTTGGAATATTGTTTAACAAGTGTTTATAGTCTAAGAAAGTTATATTCTTCATAAACACGTGTTTCTGCCGTAAACACTGCACGTACTGTTCCCACCAATCAAGAAACGCATGCTCTTCCTGCTAATCAACTGACACATGCTGTTCTCGCTCATCAACTGACACACACTGTTATTGCTAATCAACTGGCATTGTATTACTTCACAGTTTAGCAAGTGTCAAACTTATCGTCAATTCAAAACTATGTTAATGTTGAATTATATCATTCAATCGACATTTCTTTACATCTAAGAACTGTTATATGTAAATTCAGGTGTAACAATTTCAGGTTAGCAATTGAAACAGAAAGGCATTGTCATATTATTGCTAACGAGAGGCTTTGTTTTATGTATTCCTTGTAGAAGACGAAGGTCATGTCTTAATGATTTGTCAACGCAATGAAGCTGTAAGAATAGAATGTTTTCATCCTAGCATAAGAAATAGCCCTTCTGTGGACACTTTTGTTAGAATCACGTCGAGTAGTGACAAAACTGTATTGTTAAGTTTAGCAAAGTTTTTATATAAAGTCCTTCAAATAATAAATACATCAAATTATGATTAGATTTTCAGCATTTGAGCTGATATAGTGTTTGATAATTTGGTATAAAAACTCTGCTGGAATTTTGTGAGAGCTTCACTGATAAGGTACCTGTAATATAAGCCCAACATCAACACACCTGTAACAGGATACTGTAACAGGATACCATGGCCTTGATTACATCAATAAAATTGTCTATCTAATAAGACATTCCATTTTCTGTCGAGGTTATGGTCTCGCGGGATTCTCGCGATAATTTGTTGACAGGTGCATCATGGGACATCGGGCACATTCATGTAGATGGGTTTACTTCATGTAATTATGGAACTGAATGATTGTATCAAAATATTTCTTATCACCCGGCCTGCTGTTTCAATTACTATGTAACCTAAAAATAACATTTTTGCCATATATATATTTATTGAATTCATTATGACTCCGATGTCTAGGATCACCACCCACAAGGTATATTAGTGAAGGGAAAGGTATCGACCTGTATTTAGTTTCGTAATTTGCTGAATTACTGAATACTGATTTGATACGCACCACAATATATATCTAATCACCTTGAGTATCGAGGATGGATCACATCAATTTGCAACAGAATATAATCGTCGACTCACTTGACACAACGAATGTGAACTTGTGTGCTGTCAGTTGACTTCATTTGTCGATGTATATACAGGTTGCTACTTAATTCATTTTAGTTTGTCTCGTGTAGGACAATGGCTTAGCCATGTAATATTTAACTGTGATTGATAACAGTTAACTTCTCGGTATTGTCGGGCTCGAATCTCGGTTCGCCTTTGTTATGTTTCTAGGTCAATAACGTCCTCGTGGATTTAACAAACCTATTTGTTGTAGCCTCAACGAAAAGGTATTTTCATATCTGTTTGTGCAAATAATAAAACTATCATTTAAAAATTGGAAAGATTCCCTGCATACATGTATATAAATCTTGGGATCTGTTTTTGTTAAAAATCTTGTTTTTTAGAATGAAATATCAATTGTCATATCAAAAATGTTATTTCTTTTTTTTTTCTTGTCAGTTATAAAAAGAGACTGAAACTATATCAACTTGTTCTTATTTCATATGGGGCGGTGGGGTAGCCTAGTGGTTAAAGCGTTCGCTCGTCACGCCGAAGACCCAGGTTCGATTCTCCACATGGTTACAATGTAAGACGCCCGTTTCTGGTGTCCCCTGTCGTGATATTACTGGAATATTGCTTACAGCGGCATACACTTAAGCTAAATCACTGTCACACACTCACTCACGTAGAACCTTTGACTACTCCGGGACCGAATATGTCTCCAATACCCGTCATGCTACTTCCCTATGACTATTCTAGGACTGAACAGATCCCAAGAAACATACTTATCTTACAGGTTTTGCCCGACCCAGAGAATATAAATTCTTAACATTTGTTAACTAGTTTATTTTTCCACACCATTTCCATGAACTTTAGGAAACGAACGTTTTGTAAGAGACATACCCTTACAGAAAAGCATGAGAAACCTTTAAATTTCAAAAACTGCAAAAGGTACTAATGTATTAATGAAATTAGTAATGTTGTAAAATGGAAAGATTCACAGTTGAATCTTTTGGATCAGACGTACCTCTACTATTTGCAAAAAATTAACTCATGCAACAAGGTATGTTTTGGGTGCCTTGTTGGATTTCATGGGATGCCACACTCTTCTTGAAGCGCCTCGCCAAGTTCAGTCAACGTGGTCTGCGACACACATCTCCTTGTCATGTCCTAGACGAGGTCTATCGGGGAGAGGTCTGGGGTCAAGACTGACCATGGCATGTGCTGGTGGATGTGCTATGGATTCTACGGATGTGAGCCTGGCGATTCGTGCACGGTGAGCATGGGCGTGGTCGTCCTGAATCACAAAACGTCGACCAACACACATTCCAAACGAGAAAACATGGAAGTTCACGTTCATATCAACATCGTCAGTCGCACGCCCATCAAAGAAGTGCAAGTGTATCAGGACTCATCTGAAAATATGACATGTGGCCAGCGACGATGACCCAATGTTTCGACGTTGAGTATAAGGTTGATGTCTGTTAGAAATGAGTGGATTTGTGACGAGCATCGCAACATGGCTTGCATATATGCTTCAAATAAGGTTGTTCTGCATTAAATGAAACGTTTGTTTGTTGTTTGATTTCAGCCAAGTCAGAATTCTGAAATGTTGGTTAAAATTGCATTGGTACCTATAGTTATTTAGATAGTTACTGTTGAAGCAATATACTAAGATGACAAATGGTGTCACTTATAGTGATTTCGCTCATATATTTGTTGTAGCCTCAACGAAAAGGTATTTTCATATCCGTTTGTGCAAATAATAAAACTATCATTTAAAAATTGTCACGATTCCCTACATACATGTATATAAATCGTGGGATCTTTTTTTGTTAAAAATCTTGTTTTTTTAGAATGAAATATCAATTGTCATATCAAAAACGTTATTTCTTTTTTTTCTTGTCAGTTATTAAAAAAGACTGAAACTACATCAACTTGTTCTTATTTCATATAAAAAACATTCATTTGGGAAATTACTTCAAATGAGACAATCCAAGGAGACACAAAAACACTGCTGCAATAGTTAGTCGCAATATACTGAATTATCAGGTTGTTACATGACTGTTCCGAAACTAGTTGCACTTCGGTTGTAGTCATTTATCGTTTACCCGTGAAGATACGGAATAGAATTGATCTTCAGCAACTCATGCATATCGGATCACACATGTCATCGTATCCCAATTGCGTAGATCGATGCTCATGCTGTTGGTAATTATCACATTGCACCTCGGTTGTCGGGTAATTATCGTATTGCACCTCGGTTGCAGGGTAATTATCACATTGCACCTCGGTTGTCGGGTAATTATCACATTGCACCTCGGTTGTCAGGTAATTATCACATTGCACCTCGGTTGCAGGGTAATTATCACATTGCACCTCGGTTGTCGGGTAATTATCGTATTGCACCTCGGTTGTCAGGTAATTATCGTATTGCACCTCGGTTGCAGGGTAATTATCACATTGCACCTCGGTTGCAGGGTAATTATCACATTGCACCTCGGTTGTCGGGTAATTATCGTATTGCACCTCGGTTGCAGGGTAATTATCACATTGCACGTCGGTTGCAGTGGGCTTATCAGGTAATTATCGTATTGCACCTCGGTTGCAGGGTAATTATCACATTGCACCTCGGTTGCAGTGGGTTTATCGGGCAGCATTAATGCACGTAAGTATCGTGCCCACATGAAGTGGATCGCACCCTTGAAATATTCAACGAACATAGGGATTATGGACGATGTTGAATCCATTGAACGTCTTCATATGGTGAATAATGAGCCGACACTGACTGATCATTGTCCTGAGGGGAGACTGGTTAGTCACATGGCTTAAGCGAAGGCCCGGGTTTAATTGCCAATATGGGCACAATTCGTGAAACCCATCTCTGGCGTCAGCCGCCATGATGTTGAAAGAATATTGCTTAAAGCGGAGTAAAACACAATTCACTCTCATAGTCCGCGTCATAGCATACATTGGAGAACGTATCCAGATTTAGACTTACATTCAGTCCCAGATAAAAGTTATGAATACACAATGCCATTTAGAAAGTGTTCAGCTGTAACACATGCTGTATTTGGCATTACACTACAGTAAAGTTTCTACTAGTTTTGTTGGCTTGAGTTCCATCCGTAGTCAGCTGACTTTGTGTGATGACGATTAGTTTGACTCTGAGAGTGAGGGTTCCAATCCCGGATGGGACTCAAACCACCAAAAGTATTCAAATCTGTACTGTACTAAGAAAGTGTAATCCCAAATAACGTGTTACAGATTTAAGTCATTTAAAATTTTCGAAGTACCCAAAACATAATGCAATCCAAATAGAGCTCAGGGCAAAAAATGAATTTTAGAGTGGAGGCAATCCAGTCGGAATCCCTTCTTAATATTTTCTCTTTGGTTCGGGAGAAAGACCAGTATCTTGATATGAAGAAACCACGACATTACTGAATCGCCTTCTAGAGGTATTACCCATCGGTCAGTTTCTT